TTTTGATTATTTTTTGGCGTACTACTAATATTATACATATTATCATATTAAATTTGAGCGAGATCTGTTATCCATGAGCTGTTGTTATTATATTTCTCAGTGTTCAGCAATGAAACTCAACGAATGTGAACGATCGACGAAGCATGGGAAGTCACCTAACGTGGACTCTAGTACATTATTTCTCTAGTGACTTTTTTCTCGAAAGTATGATTAGATTTAATGGTTTGCCTAACTTGGTCTGCTTAAAGCCGAAACAGAATCATAAAAAGTATATTGATTTATTTTGTTATAGCACCGTAAATATTTAAAATTCAAAAGGAATTTTATATATAACAATATAAGTTTGTTCTTTATTACATGAATTGAAAATGACTTTTGGAAAGACTTAACAAAGCAGGTGGTATCATAAAAAAATAAATAAATAAAAATATAATTAAATTATAAAAAATAATAATTAAATAATGATAAATAAATAGAAATAAGAAAATAAATAAAAATAAGCAATAAGAATAGAACCAAAAACCGAAAAGAACTGTTAAAATGGGAAGTGAACCGATATATATATATATATATTTTAATTAAAATGTGTTGAACATCGGAATAAAAAATATTTAGTTCAAAAGCTCGAAATAACCATTTAAATCAACACCTTTTCATATCAATTAGACACATAAAATATAAATTGCTAAAAAAGTTGAGGATCATACCTTAATCATCCTTTGAATATATTACATTCGATAGGGCTTAATTTGAAAACGACAAAGAAAATGGTGGATTGATTAATTTCTGTGAATTTATTTCGTATATTTTTTATATAGAATATACAAAAAAAGTGTAGGTCGTTCCAGTTTTAAGAGTGTGAAGAGTGAAGAGTGAAAACTTCTGCATGCTTGACTTTGTACATTTAAAGTCAAGCATGTACACCTAAAGAGTGGTATTTTTTTATACCACTCTAAGCAGGTATAGTTCAGAAAAATAATATTTTTTGAATACACTTTATTCTTCTGATAACATGTTGGTGAAATTCACTACTTTCTTCTAATGAGAGTGACCGTTTCAATTACCTTATTAACAAGAAGAAATGAACTCATGGAACATCAGTTTCGAAAGTTTATTTTAATGAATATATAATAGAGTGGTTTTGATGAATTTTTTCAACTCCCATATGCTATAGATATGCGTTATATATATTTGTTGTACAAACCAGTACCATATCGGAAGAAATTTAATTACGTTAATTATTAATATCATCACATACTCTATCATCTCTTTTTCAGACTTAATAGTTGTTAAAATTTACAATTTCTTTGTCCAAGAGTTACTTCCATTTTTTAAAAATGGAAGCAGTTCTATGAACTGCTTTAGTAACTGTTTTATTTTTACTTCGTTATTATTTGCCAATGGTCTAGATGATTTTGACCTTTGGTCACTTACTTACTTATTAATGTTGTCATAACAATCCATTACTGGGTTTTGGCCTAACGCAGCATATCTCTCCACGCGCCACTGCTGCATACGCGCCTTCATCAAGTATATGCTCCCACCCTCTGGTTACATGATCGTCAAAATTTCTCTCTTTTTTTTCTTACGCTGTCATATTCTACTGAATATTAAATTAATCAGATGATTCACTTTTTCCAACCTGATAGAATGAATGTTTCGTTTGCGGGTTCTGTTTTTGATTCATGCTATGATAAAAAATATTCATTTACAATTGATATGTTATGATGCTATATCTCTTTCTATTATATTAGTTCAGCTGTGTTATGTAGCATTTAGATCAGCTATGCAAGTATGTTATTTATTTAGAATTTGTAAAATTAGATCCCCTCCTTCAATATTTCTCAACCTTTAGTATAAAACGTCACTCATAAACCTTTAAAAAATTTCAATATTCCCTTAATGTAATGCTTGTATACCACAATACTACTTAGTGAAGTTTCGAGAAACGAGAAGAGGTCCCGGTTACTGTTTTTTCAAAACAAATAATGTTAATTTACATGTAAATTCAAATTTCTCCCTTGAGAATTAAAACAGTCCCTGTAGGCGTACGCCCCACGACTATGGGTTAGTAATGAAATATATTTTTTATTAAATTATTTTATTTATATTTTGTTGCATTCATAGAAAAGGTTTTAAGTGTTCACACCAAAATATAATCAATCACATCTCGTAATTTAAGTTTTTGCTTAACAGAATTTCTGTAGATTGAAAAAAATTAACCATAATTTTTTGCTTTTTAAAACTCATGTAGGCTTTTCTATGTTTTTATATTATTGGTTTTTTTTTTTGATAATATTAGCTCTGTTATAGATTCTAATCTATGATATTTCTTATAAATAAACCTGCTGTATTTCATTTAAAACTAGTCTGCCTACAAAAATAATTTTATATATAAATTATTAGAAAAATATAAAATTGATCATGCATAAATTTCATTATTTTATATATATACTAGCTGACCCGGCGAACGTTGTTTCCCCTTGCAATTAATTTTCCTGGCGTTCGTTGCGTTGCTCTTGACTTTCATTAGCACGTGTAATTGTATCCTGGTTTCTTACATCTTCATTGTTTTCTGCCGATCTATTTAACCGACGGTTCTGGAGTAATTGTGAATTCCGAGTCCGTCGACCAATATTTCCTCCTCGTCCACGAAGACGTGGCATTTTTTTTGTACGATAATTATATCTTTATATATATAATTCTTCTTTTTTGTGTGTTGAATTTTTGAATTCGCTGGATTTACCAGGAATACCACCACATAACTTAAGATTAAAAATTGGCTCACCTATAATTATGCTGCGGAATTTAAATGCACTTAAGCTATGCAACGTCAGTTTTACAATTCATTTTAGAGATTTTAAAGTTTTTAAACAAATCAAAGTAAGAATGAATAAATTTTAAATTTTTAATATAAATGTATATGGATACCAAAAAATAAAAAATTGATTAAAAAGACATTATCCAGTGGGCCAAATTGTGAATCTCTAAACCTTCCTTGAATCCACTTGAACACACACAAAAAATTTCATCAAAATCGGTTCAGCCGTTTAGGAGGAGTTCACTGTCAACACACGTACAGAAGAATTATATATATAAGATATATATATAAAATATTATAAAT